GGCATTTTGGTTTGACCTGGCCTGTGCCTTTGTCTGTCTGCAGCCTGCAGGACAAAGGCTTGAAGGTTGCTGACAGATGCCCTGGCTGGGCCACGAGGCAGGTTCTGCTGAGGGCAGAGGGGAGGAGGAGGAAGTACACAGAGCAAGGGTCGGAACCCCAATCATCCCTTCGGAGCGAAAGGGCAGGAGAGAGAAGGCCTGTTCTAAAAGGGCTTCAATCTTTACCATTACGTAAGGCCTGCTTCAGGGCTGCCGGTGTGCTAGTGGTCAAATAGTACCACAGCTTCCGGAAAATCTGATTTATTCACATCCTATCAAAATTATATTTGGATCAGATGAAGAGAGGGTAGATTTCAAGGTAACGTATATCTAGCGCAAGCTCCCTCTTCTCCCCCAAACCTACAGACGTTGGAAGTATATCAGAGACCAGTGTGAAATAAGTAAGCCCGTTAAACAAATGAATGGGTGTTTGGACATAGAATAAGCAACTCTTTAAGCCTGTGAAAGTGTCAGCGTCCATATAAAAGATGTGCTAACCAAGGAATCCTTAAATATGCACTGAAGTCTGAACAGTTTGTGAGCACATATTTTACAAATGATATTCTCGTCTTAGATCATTCAGGCTGTCTCTAGCTGGTAAAATTTAAGGGACATTATTATCTCTAGGCTTGTTCTTAATGCTGAATAGCATTATCTTCAAAACCAATTTCTTACAGGCGACTTTGGGTTAGCCAGGGGTGAATTTCTTTTGCAGAATGCATCTGTAAAGAAAACTCTGATTCACTGTACAGCAATCTCTCTGACTGCTCAGAGGTTTGGGTGGAAAGCATGTATTCCTCTAAGCATGGCTACCTGCACAGAGTAGAGACCTACATACAAGCGTGGGTCAGGTAACAGGTTCCAGTGCAGCTGACTTGGGATGCAAAGCCAGAATCGTGGATGAGAGAGAAGAACCCAGCTGTTAACTAGAACATCTGTGGCTTGAACCCCGTAGCAGCTCCACGGGAGAAAGATGTGCTAGTATGCTTTCGTAATGATTTCAGGCTTGGAGACCCTGTGGAGGCAGTTCGACTTTGCAGTTGGAACCAACTCGCCAGCCATGGTTGGAGGCAAAGAGAGCAGCCTGGGTATGAGTGGATTAAGGACCGCCTCTCGGAATGGAGCATGCTCTCTGTACATGGGGTAACCCCTTATTCCATGGATGTGTAAGAGGTGAGGATTTTCTCCATCTAATGCTCATGAGCCAAAAAAAAACCCAACCCCAATGCACTGCTGCTGAGACCATCCCGACTCACGGCCACCTTATACTACCTCGTACATTGGAGGGGTGGGGAGGGGGGCGGTGCTGAGGCTTTACAAAAGCAGACAGTCTCTCTTCTTTCTTCTGTGGAGTGGCTGGTGGGTTCGAACTGCTGACCTTGTGGTTAGCAGCGTAACATGTAACCCACTACTGCCACCAAGGCTCCTTAGTACCTCATAAAGAGTAATGTCGTGAAAGTTTCTTGAATATATGAGTTTATCTCTCAAAATAAATTTTCTATCTTAAAAATACACCTTTGTCATCCTTAAATTTCAACAAAACCCCTTAAATACTGTTTTGGGTGTCAGGGAGCGGCATGTGGTTGGAATAGCATCAGGTGCACCGTTGGGTTTAGGGCTGGAATCACTAGGGGGTGAGTGGGCGGGAAAGTCTCTTTGTGACCTTACCTGGGGATGAGGCTATCCAGAATCACTGAGGCACATGGGGTCAGAACAGTAATAAGGGGTTGAAACCATGAAGTATTCATTATTCAACTCTGAAACACAACTGCTGTATTTAACCTCACTCGCTACCTGGGCCAAAGCATGAATTATTTTTTAAAACTTTTTACAACAGTCTTGCCCAATTATACCTTATTTTTCTTTTTGGTGATAAAGACATTGATTTGTGTTTAATATAAATACTGAAAATGGTATCACAATTTTAATAACTGCCATTGGTACCTGTCTTTACTTCAAGCGTTTTTTATTATCTAAAAAGAACAAAATTGCATGTGTAGAAAAGAAGATACGATTTCTTTATGTTTTATAAACCCACCGGGAGCTAATAGAAACCAATTCCATGGTTCATTCTTTTGTCTAAAATTTTACTTTAGGTAAGAGTTTATCTCTAACCGTGGAAGATGTAAGCTATAAATGAAAAAGATGATTAATTAAGCACTCAAAGAACGTTCCTATCGAGAACATCCACGAAAAACCAACCCTATTGCTACTTTTGGATTTTTGTATTTTCCCAAAGAAATCCAAATATGTAAAACACCAGTAGTTTGCTTATCTTTCAGTTGAAGGAATTCGGTGGAAGACACAATCACACACCCAGACAGACACCGGAAATAGGAACTTTGGGCTACCAGCTTCCTGGGAGCTACCTAGGCCTGCAATGAGCATTTCTTAGTCTTTCTGTGCAGCAGCACCTCCTCGTTTGTCTTTGGGTACTTCCTAGTTCAAGGCCATTGCCTCTGTTGTTCTAATAGCTTGTCAGGATGCACGGTTGTTAAGATGCCAAAGAGGTCATGGCTATGTGGTGCCGCCTGGTTGTCGTCAGATTTTAATAGCCTACATTTCTCAAATGATCTTCTTCTGGTAGGCATCTAATTAAAGATTAAGCCACTCAATTTGAATTTTTATGATTATTTGGCAGGAGAACCGAATACATTCTTTCAATGCACTTTCTCATTTAAAATGATTTTTCATTAATTTGTGTCACACCATGCTTTTTTTGTTCTCAGCAAATAATAGGCTTTAAAAAGACTAATGAGACTAGCCAATGTAAAAGTGAGTGGGTTACATACTATGAGCATTTAAAACGAGGACACACAGCACATGATTTACTCAGGTCTGATAGCAGCCGTGCAAAGCTCCAGAGCAGTACTGGGGCCAGTCTCTTACCTGGGTTGCAATCTGTCAGAAGAGAGCAGATGGAGAGGAGAACTTTAGAGATGGTGAGGGCCGGACTCCAGTTGTCTTTGAGGATGTCCAGGCAGATCACGCCCTGGCTGTTAATATTACAGTGATAGATTCTTGTTCGGAAGGTAACCTAGGGGAAAATGCACACGTGCCATCAATAAACACGTCTCTTATCACCCAAATAATGCAAGGATCACTGGTTGATATGGTCTTAGTTTTTTCCCCCGTAGGCACATGAGACAAGTCAAGAAACAAAAATCACTAGTTTCTTGTTAGGATCAGTTAGGAACTGATTCTGGAGCACAGAAAGCTAAACCCCAACAGTTAAGAACTTGATATTTCACTTCTGATGAAGGGTTCTGGGGAGCCAAATTCATTCATGATAGAGTAATAAGAATGTTTTAGAGCCCCCAATAAAAGTAAACAAACAAGAAAACCCCAAACAAGAGTATATAACAAAGGAAAAACCCCAGAATGTTTTATAAAAGAAAACTGAGTCTGAGCTAGGGAAAACTTCAACATAAAAACCTGAGATTAAGACAATTGACGTTTCCAAGAAGACTTCTGCGGGATTTCAGTTGTTCCAAGAACGTCACACAGACACTAATAAACAAAGACAATCAAATGCTATTCTATGTCACGGCTTTAAAAACATGAAATAGGACATAAGTACAAACAATATACCTAGAACACGACGTTATTTATAACTCATAAACCTCTTCTCCTAAAGTTCCCTATTTTGAATGTGAATGATTAGATCAGCCTCCCTTTTCTTCCGGATAGCTAGATCACCGCTCTACTGTGCTTATGTATTATTTTGAAGCAGGGTCTTAACATTTTAAAAGAAATGTTGCTGGAAAAGTTAAGTCCAGTTTTATAGCCTAGGTAAGCATTGTAATGAGATTTTAATGCTATTTATTAATATCGTGTTTGTAAATCTTGGCAGCTTTGTAAAATTGAAAAAAAAAATTCTTGGTGTTCCCAAGACTACTCTTCTGGAACCCATAGTTCAGAATGGCTCAGAACCAAGACATCCACACAAGGCAGATCTCTGTGGGCCATGCCACCCCAGCAGGGAATCCACACTAGATCGACTTCATGTATACGATTCAAGTCTCACAGCAGGCAGATCCAGAGTGTTCTCTAGATGCCAAGTCCTTGGAACTTCTAAAGAGGACTGTCTTTTTAGCAACCAGATCACCTGACATCCTTTCTCTGTGACATGCTGTGGCCCCTACCACTGCCCAGCAATACCAGTCAACTGGGAAGAAATTACTACCAGCTTTCTTTACAATGCATGGCTGAATTTGCAAGGGGAATTCCCACAGGCCAGGCTTGAAGAGCAAATATTACAGTGAGTCCAAGAGTTGAAAATACAGCTGCTAAGGGTGGAGCCTGGTGAAGAAGGGATGAAGGATGATAGTCAATCTCAATAAAATGAAGGCTTGTGTTTCATTGCTCTTATAGTAAAAGAAAACAAAGCCTTAGGCCTAAATGTGGTAATGAGTTGGAAGTAGGACCCTTGCATAAATTCAGGTCCTCAAACAGCTAGACTTTCAGTCAAGGATGGACTTGAAACGCTGGTCCTTATGTGGGACACAGCAAGGAAACTTGGCAGCGAAAGCCTGGGCTCTGGGGGTGGGGATGGGGTGCACATATATGAACTAAAGGAGAGCACAATGACTTCTTATTAAATCAAACATTATGTTTCAGGTACAGCAGTCCTGGAGGGAAGCCAAGTGGGTTATGCATTGGGCTGCTAACCGAAAGGATGGCCACTGTGGGAACCCATCAGCTACTCCACACGAGAGCGATGAAACTGTTCCTTTAATAGCGGTTCTCAATCTGTGGGTCGTGACCCCTTTGGGGGTCAAATGACCCTTTCACAGGGGTCACTTAAGACCATTGGAAAGCACATATTTCTGATGGTTTTAGGAACCGAGACACCGTTCCTCTATCCATCTCCAGGTGCGTCTGCCAACATGCAGATATGCTGATCTGGTGAGAGAGAAGCTATCTCAACCTTTGCACTGACTTTGGCTTTTTAAGCATACTGTCGCAAAACGTAGCAATGTAATTTACTGTTATTATATTAAGACTGTTACCCATGCTACACCATGCTTCAAGACAAAATTTCATTTATTTGTAATTAGAAATAAATATTTCACAATATATAATTACATATTGTTTGTGTGATTAATCACTATGCTTTCATTATGGTCAATTTGTAACAATGCAATACATCCTGCATATCAGATATTTATATTACGATTCATAACAGTAGCAAAATTACAGTTATGAAGTAGCAACAATAATAATGTTATGGTTGGGGGTCACCACAACATGAGGAACTGTACTAAAGGGTCATGGCATTAGGAAGGTTGAGAACCACTGCTGTAAAGACTTATAGCCTCAGAAACCTTATGTGGCAGATTCACTCAGTCCTTCAGGGTCACTGTGCATAGGAATCCAGTCAACCTCAGTGAGTTGAGTCTTTTGGTTTTTGGTTAGGTTTTAGGTGAGAGCATTGATAGGGGATTGTAAAGAGACAATGAATAATGATCAAATGAACAATTCATCAGGAAAACATATCCATTTGGAATCTGTGGTACTTAACAACATAGCTGAAAACACACAGGCAAAAATCAGCATAATTATATCAATAGCAAATCCATCATCACAGAGGGAGATTTTCACTACACAGCTGCCGATAACTGACAGCTCAACCAGATCACAACTATTAGTAAGGACACTGAAAGCAGGAACAATCAGATTAACAAGATCAAGGATTGTAATCCCGATAAAATTTTACCCTCAATGATTTCTTGCAGGTACACAAGAAACATTCATAAAAACTAACATGTTCTAAGCCACAAAGAAACATGCATCATTTTAAAGAACTGACATGACCACAATGAAAACCAGAGTCTATCAAACACAAGATACAGTCAACATATGTTTGAAATCGGGAAAATGTACTTTTAACTGATCCTGGTATTAAAGAGGAAAAAAAAAATCCAATACATCAATAGCTGAATGACCGTGAAAAAGTTGAGTTGCCAGATAGCAACATTTGTGATTCAGCTAAAGCAATTCTAAAAGAGAAATTTAGTTTAAATGCATAATTTGAAAAGAAGGCATTAAAAAAAAAGCATTTAAAAGACAGTTTAAAAAAGTGCAACAGCTTAATCCCCATCAAAGTAGGGCAAAAGACGATGTGAGCAAAAGCTAACGAAACGGAGAAGACTTAGTGACACTAACATTTATTCAAACAAGTCAGACTCTTATCACTTTATGTACTGAATGATATGATAAAAATATTCTCATGAACCAGGGTAAATGATGAATAGCCTATAATAATGACACTTCAAAAGCGTATCTGACATTGACTGACTACTCTGAATCAGGTACTCCTCAAAACAACCCAGTGAGGACAGTCCGATTATTGCACCTGTTTAAGAAATGAAGGAACGGAGGCACCAAGGGAAAGGACACGCTCACAGTCCCACCGTTTGTAAGCAGTGGAACAAACGCTGAATCGTCACATGGATCCAAGAGTCCATTTTCTCTTATACACTCGTGTTTTCTTCTTCAACTTTTAATTCTGGTATGATTGCAGATTCACATGGTTGTAAGAAATGATACAGGGTGACTCCATAGAACCTCCCAATGATAACATTTTCATGTTGCTGTTGGCCGGGACTCATGGTGATCCCGTGATAACATGTGCTTAACTTGAGTGTCACAGAAGATCCACACTGATCCAACTCATTATGTACATGCATTCATGCAATAGGTACTAAATACGTGTGCTGAGTTTTATGCAATTTTATTACATGTGTATAGTCAGGTGGCTGTTGGATTTTAGTAGCCAAAGCCACCTTCCCAATTTTTCTTTTTTCCTGATTTTCTGGCATCTTTGTTCCTATCGCTACACTTTTGTCATTGCAAGAAAATGATACAGCAAACACCCCTCCCAACGCCGCCAAGCACACCTATCTTACTGTGGTGGAAACAGGCTTACCCAAATACACTTCTCTTCAATAATCTCTCTGTGTACAATTCAGTGATGTTATTTGCTTTTGGAAGTGAAGTCATTCTCACTGTTCTTCTCCAAACCATTCCACCAGCATCACCGTACTGTCCTCCTAAACGTAAATTCTCTTTCCCACCTGTTAACCACTAATAATCTTTGCTTTCTCTATATTCACTTTGTTTCATGTCAGTGAGATCCTAGGAGTATTGGGGGCTCATTGTCTCATACTGGCCTTCTCTGCTGTGATAGAACACTGCGCTACCATTGAGGAGAAGGGGCTACATGTGCTGGTGACCCACTGGTGAACGATGAACCTACTGGCGGCTTGTGCATCAGACCCACTCACGGTATTAACAGCACACACACTTGTTTCGATGGGGTGGGCACTGGGTCCCGATAAGAACATCTTTGTTCTTGTGGAGGTGAGTGACATTCACAAGCTTAGCACACACTGGTGTATCCAAGGCACATAGCCTGTGTTGCGAATGAGAGTGTCCCTGGAACAGGCTCCCGGAGCTCAAGCGGCAGGTCCCCAATGACAGTATCTTTCTTTCCCTCCTCTTGGTAGAGCCCAGCTGATCAGGCTGGGTTTGTGGCAAAGGCCCCAGACCTCCCGTCGGTTGCTGTGTCAGTGGAAACAAGAGATTCCCAGGTGTGCATCCCATGATCGGTCTGACAGGCATTGGAGGAATGACCCATCATGTCTCTCCAGCTCTGGCGTTCTGTGACTTTGCTGAGACATTTGTCTCCCAACAGGAGGACCACTGAGGACCAACGTGCTCAGCGTGTGCACCCAGGATTCTTGGCACAATAGCTGCCATGGAGAAGTCAAGCCCTTCCTCCCACATCTCCAGACCGATTGCCTGGCTGCAGTGGTCAGGAAGCACCAGGACCACCAGCCATTACTTTTGCTGTGCACCAATTGTCTGGACAATTCCCATGCTGTATGATTTCCTTGAGCTCCTAGGTTCTGCATGGATCAATAGTTTGTTCCTTTTCATTACTGAGTATTTTTCCATGGCAGCACTCATTTAATGCCACCAAGTTGATGCTGACTCCTAATGACTCTAAAGACTCCTGCCTCTTTACAGGAG